ATCAGCGCCGGCGTGCGGGGTGCGCGGGACGTAACGGGGAACGAAGGGGCGACGGGGCGGCGGGTCTCTCGCTGTCCGTAACAATTCTCGTTTAAAATAATATCTAATTGATGTAAAATGTACTTTGAAACTTGTTATTTTCTTAATTTTATGAATATGTAAAATATATTAACCTAGTTTACGTTTTTATTTCACAACAATCATAGATACATTTATATTTTCGGCTACAGAGCTTGTTGCACAGAGTAATCATTTCAATCGGACATAAAAATAATCGGAAGGTATAATTTAATTTATACTTTCATGGATTAAACAACTTTTATTTGTTATGTATATTATAAAATATATAGTTTATAATTTATAAGATAAGTAAAGATAATTTTTAATGGGCAGGCGACAAAGATATTAAAAAGCAAAAATAAAAGTTCCTAAACTGTAATTGAAATACAATGCGTAACATGGTTCAATAGTGATTTCTCTGTCTTGCGTATAGCGCTGTCTCTGTTTCGCTTATTTTGCCCGAAGTTTGCATCGGCTCCATAGTGACTTGACCCCCCATGTCAGTACATGTCGTACAAATACCGGCTTGCGCGCGCCAGTTCGCCGTATGATGCATTCCTTTAACGAGTTTTTCAATGATGGTAATATAGACTTGTTTACACCTAATGTTCTTGCTTTTAAAAGATCTATATTTGAAAAACTAAAAATTTTAAAAATAATATTATTTTAGCTCCATGTGTTTTAGTTTTTAGTTATTAAGTTTTTATTCAGCGTGTGCGACAATTTCATTTAACATTGTAAGTAATATGTGGATAGCGTTGTGGGCTACATTATTGTGAATACATCATGTTATTGTATTTTAGATATTACTGTATTTTGTAGCTGTTTGCTGTTCCTTAATAAATAAAATAAAAATAAAATAAAGTAATGTACCTACATATTAATTCAATGACTCTCATAAACTTTTTATTAACTTAAATGATAAATTTCTAGCCAGTAAGCTAAATACATCCTATAAAATGCATTTTTTTTTAAATTCTTGCCACTGTGAAATGTCAACCAGTCAGACATTTACAAGCGGCCAGTATTTCAGTCTTGACAGTTGTCAGCGCAAAGCGTACGCAAAATAAAATAAAGCGCGCCAATTCCCGCCATCGCTGTGTTGGGCATCGCTAAGTAATTAAAAAAATAACACATTGCGACGTGGCTCTCGCTTCGTTATAGGTTTTTTATTTTTACGAAAATAAGGGTGACAAACGAACACACAGTCCACCTGATGGTAAGATGATACATTAAGAATCCTCGATTAAGAATCAAAATACAGCGTTGTCACCCCTGAGGACTAAGATGGAATGCCTCGTTTCCAGTGATAAGGGTCTCCGGTTCTCTACACTCTCCATACGGAACAAAATAGCATTAAGCTGGTATTTTACGCTGGTATTCTGTGGAAGCGTGGTTCTACCCAGGTCGAGCCAACCCATTCGTGCTACAACCATGATATAGCTGCAGCGTGGCTCTACCACGTTTTAAATGTGTGTGTGATTAAATAACAATTTTCTGTATGATTGTACCCTACATTTTGTCTATATACTTCAAGTATACTTTCAGACACTACTACCTGAGAAATATCGCCTACGTAGTGACGTCAATGTAACCAAATATCCTTAATGGTGCTATTGATTGCTCTGAATTACTATCCCTAGTTGGAATTTGTGACAAGAATAAGGAACGATTACGGAAAGTATACGTATAATACATAACTTATACAAAAAGGCAATGTAGATATAGATATTTTTTCACACAGTGTCAATTTCAAGGGAAAATTGAAAAGCGAAATGGGTAACTTGTGAAAACTTATATATTAAATGATAATAATCATTTAATAACTATATTTGATATAATTTTATTAAGTGGTACTATTTGTTAAGTTTTTTATGTTTTAGATGTTAATGTTTTGAATTTTATTGTTCTTTCTTTTCATCATTATCATTACAGCCCTTCACAAGTCCACTTATGCCCAACTGCTTAACATAGGCCTCCCCCAAGGAATGCCACAAAGCACGGTCCTGAGCCACCTGCATCCATTGACTTCCTGCATGTCTTACCAGCCGGTTTCCGAAAAGGCTTTAGCACCTTAGACCACATACATACCCTTCGGCAAGTCCGAGGAGTACAATTTGCCACTATGTCTGGCGTATGTGGACTATGAGAAAGCCTTTGATTCCGTCGAAATTTGGGCGGTGCTGCAGTCCCTTCAGCGATGCCAAGTTGACTGTCGGTATATCGAAGTGTTGAAGTGCTTGTACAGTAGGTCTACGATGGCTATCCGAGTACAGAACCAGAGTACGAAACCTATCCAATTGCAGAGAGGTGTAAGACAGGGTGACGTCATATCCCCGAAACTCTTCACCGCTGCATTGGAAGACCTTTTCAAGCTTCTGGACTGGAAAGGATACGGTATCAACATCAATGGCGAGTACATCACTCACCTTCGATTTGCCGACGATATAGTCCTTATGGCAGAATCGCTGGAGGTCCTAAGCACTATGCTCAATGACCTCAATAGTGTTTCCCAACGGATAGGTCTTAAGATGAACATGGACAAAACAAAGATCATGTTTAATGTCCATGTCACACCTATGCCGGTAGTTGTTGGGAACACTAAGCTCGAAGTATGTTTACCTGGGACAAATAGTCTGTGGCGAGTTTTACACTTTATTTGTTGAAAGTTTTAAATATTAATATTTTATAAATAAATTTTAAGTATTATTAATCTATGTTCTATTATTTATTAAGGTTTTTCAATTGTTAATAAATATGCGTAAATTTTGTAAGATATTACCTATTAATAAATTAAATTATGTACAAGCAGACACGCGCCTTGCATTTTTATGTATCTGCATAACGAAGGAATGTGAAACTGGTTCGGTCGCTGAGCCCGCGCCTTCTGGACAGCAGATCGCCAGTTCGTCCGCTTCGGCGTTGCACGTTATACGTATCCCATACCCATTGTCTGCCTAATACCCAAGCTTATGCAGTTCGTATAGTTTAATTCTTCCTTGTACATATATATTACTGTATTCCTGTCTACTCATTTGTACCTTCTGTATTGTGCTGTTATTGTACTTTATTTCTGTGTGCCTAGCGCAATAAAAAAATACAAGTGTGAGAAAACGGACTATTAATCAATCAGCCCCCATAAGCACCCGCTACAGTGGTGACCAACCGACGTGATATGAACACGCAACCAATAACCTTCGGAAATTACACCTTCAAACCTTCATCATCCTTTAAGTACCCCATTCATTCGCTCCCGAGCAGACATTGTCTGCAGTCTTCACATTCTGCAAGCCATCTAGCTTTACAAAAAGGTTCATCGCAGCACTGGAATAATAATGCTTCCTGTTCCTTCAAGCTACTCTCTGCGCTACAGTGTTCGGCACGGCTCTGAGCCTTACTGCTCGCCTCTGCTTCACGGCACTCTCGCAGATTACTTGCCTTCTTCTCGACTCACCGCAGACTACAAGGCAATCCCTGGCACTTGCTCCGGCTCATCGTTCTCACCGGCATCACTTGCAAGTGCGTAGTACGGCATGCATTACACACCGTCATATCATTCGCACCGGCATCACTTGCCCTTACTCACACAGCATGCATTCCCCACCGGCATTTAAGGACGCACCGGCAATCGGACTGCACTATCGACCTCCGGTCTGAGCAGGGGGGTGATGTGGCGGCGCTGTCGTCGCGCCACAAGCGAAACACATCGAAGACTAAATCGCACTAACAAAGTTCCGAAATTAAAGAAGTATATATAGAATAGCTCCGAACTACCACTCGGAGCATTGGCCGCTCCCCGGGCAAAAACAACTTGCCCGGCGGGAGATCTCCCCTTTTCCTTCCACCCGCCACAAGTCCGATCAGGTAAGTCCAACTTCAACCGAGAGGTCAATCGACGGATTCAACTCGGCTGGGCAGCGTTCGGGAAATTACGGCACATCTTCTCGTCAGGTATACCTCAAAACTTGAAAACGAGACTGTACACCCAGTGCGTGTTGCTAGTGATGACATACGGAACTGAGACGTGGTCCTGCACTGCTGGCCAGATGAGGAAGCTCAAGGTCACTCAGCGAGCTATGGAGAGGGCTATGCTCGGAGTTTCTCTGCGTGATAAACTCAGAAATGAGGATATCCGCAGTAGAACCAGAGTGACCGACATAGCCCAACGGATTAGTAAGCTGAAGTGGCAATGGGCCGGCCATATAGCTCAAAGAACCGACAACCGATGGGGAAGAAAGGTTCTCGAGTGGCAGCCTCGTACCGGCAGGCAAAGTGTAGGGCGTCCCCCCACTAGATGGAGTGACGACCTGGTAAGATATGCAGGAAGTCGATGGATGCAGGTGGCTCAGGACCGTGCTTTGTGGCATTCTTTGGGGGAGGCCTATGTTCAGCAGTGGACTTGTGAAAGGCTGTAATGAAAATGAAAAATGTCTTACCAGGTCGTCACTCCATCTAGTGGAGGGACTAGGGGGAGGTATGCTCGTTTGTCCCTACTTCTATATAAAAAAATTATAACGCAACCATGTCAGTTTAGGTAGGTAATAAAAAACGACTACTGAAATAAAACCTAATAGTTTATCAAAGATAAGCATATCCACTACCCCATATCATCCCGTGGGTGTCGTAAGAGGCGACCAAGGGAAACAAATCAAGACACAGGCAGCAGCGTCTTCCTAATAACGTATAAACATAAAAAACTGCAGTTTCAACTCGATTGCCAAGCGTGGCAACTATGGCAAATATTCTCTAAAGTTGCAATCTATGGGGAAGGCCTATGTTCTGCAGTGGACTTTAATAGGCTGTAGAAAATAATCTACCAGGAGCACATGATCCAGTGAGAGGTGAAATTTTCAAATCAACAGTAACATTATGTTCCGCAGCGGGCTTTACCAAAAAATATTCCGTCCCAGGGTATGCTACAGCAGGTACTGCAGCAAATCTTACCTTAACTCTCTGAGGAAAGCACCAAAAAATGGTATGAGTCGACACTCGGGCATAGCGAGAGCTCGACCCAACGCTCGCTCGTACTCAGCTGTGAGCAGGGCAGCTGAGAGGAAGTCCAGGGCTGGCAGCGGCTCGTCAGATATACTGAACCAGAACGACTTCAGTTTGTGAGATCTGCAACCAAAGAAATCGAAACATCAGTGTAAAATATTTTTTCTTAATTTATTCCATTACTTTATTGAAACGACGGCTCCGTGGCGAAGTGGCGAAGTGTCAAGTAGCGGCGCTCATAGACGCGGGTTCGAATCCCGCATGGAATAAGTATTTGTGATGATTTATATTATATATTTGTGTTTGCGTCACTTTGCACTACCGCCTAACGCTTATGAGATTCGTTAATTAATATCCAATAAGAGTACTGCCAAGTCCATTTCCGGGTTTCCTATCTACCGTCTTTTATACCTTTAGCATGTGCACTCTTGTGTTAAGGCGCAGGTGAGCAAAATGTCGCGCTAGTCGTTATTTGTGCGGTTTTTAGGAGCTATCTACTTTTTATTTAAAAGATATATCAACTAATAAAAAACACATTATATTTATACGTAATCTTGATTCCATAAAAGTCATATCCAATTTTTTTTAAAGGAATCAATATTAAAATAATCTCCTTACAACGAAACCACATAAATGTGATATAATTATTGATAACATGCATCTCCTCGTAAAGTAAGTATTATTTTATTTTGCGATTTAAGCCAATGGATAGGCAATTTATTAATGAACATTTCTATCATAAAATTTTTTCAAAAGACCAAAATTTGATTTTATTAAGAAATTATTTTAGAAACTGGGCGTATTCACTACCCACCGGCTTGCTGGAGTCGGTGAGCGTTAAGCTCTTGAAGGTGAAACCCGTGTCGTTTGTCACGACGTCAGCCAGCGCACATGCTCGCTGACGTCATCTTATCAATCTATATTATTATTATTACTTATTAGGTTATTTATAGGTAGTATTATTTGTTTGTTTTGGGTATAATTTTTCGTATTAGTTATACATATATTTGTTGTGTTTTTTACTGCGCGATGAAGCTTTTTGCGTGTATTTTCTTTGAAGTAAATGCAAATAAAAAAATGAAGCACCATTAGCATGTAAGGTTCGACTCCATAATTAACATTTCGACAAATATTATAATTTACACTATAAAAGGCTAATTCATTATTATCAGTATAGTATACAGTTAAAAATAATTCTAATACCCAACCACAATATCTTATTAGGTATAGTACTGCCTCGTTGATCTAGTGGTTGTAGTAGTGCGACTGCTGATCATGAGGTCCCGGGTTCGAATCCCGGGTCGGGCCAAAATGTCAGTTATGAGTTTTTCATTTATGTTCTAAGTTATAATTAGTATTACTAAGTTATAGTTTTTTGCTAAAATATAGTATATTATTTATTGCTTGTTTTTTTCTTCTTTTTCAAAAAATAATTGAGTACATCTCTTGCTAAACTTTAAAATCTAAAACCAATTTTAAAACAGACGAATTGATCATAAATCCCTTAGCTATAAAATAAGTTATGATCTAATTAATGGTATTTATTCCAGTTTATGGCAGCCCTGATTTATATTACGTGGCTGAAATTAGGTACTTTTTATTAGGTACGTCAAACCAAATAACAGCCGGCTGACATTATGCACTCCATACATTTCTTATATCTAATTACAGCCCCATTAATTTCCACTAAAAGAAAATAAATAACTTGTAAATTCAAACAAAAATAACTGCATTACTATGTCTATAGTCATATTCATTACAAATCAAAAAGCCTGTATATGAGATAATGTAAAGTAAGCATAATTTTACCGGGATCATAACTTGTCAAATAATTAGGAAAATGATCGTTTTTCGTTGCGTACGTGTTTTGATTTTAACACTGTTAGGTTTAAAACTGCGAGGTAATATTTGAATAAATATATTTTCCTCTAGGTACAGAGAATTTTTTAGATGACAATATTTGTAGTTAACACTACTAGAAATCTTATTTATGGAGTAAAAAGGCGAAAAGACTGGAATTAGGGGCATGACTGGTATTAGGGGAATCCACCCTAATTCGGTAAAAATTATCTAAGTAGCTATACCTACTTTTTACTATAAACTAAAAATTTTTAAAACTAAATTTAACTAAAAAAAACTAAACTGACCTTTTGTTTTTTAACTCAAAACAGGACATGGGTTTATTTATACTCTAAAAACTATAACTTTATACAATTAGTGTTTACTATAAAATTATATTCGGTATAGACGGTAAATATTAAATGCAACATATTTTTTTAAATTATTAATTACATTTGTCAGTGGATTAAATTTGCTTTAATAAAGTTGGTGATGATTTTAATTAAGTATAAAATTCTGGTCAAGTTTTTTTATTGTTACCTTTGTTAACAACATCGCCTTTAGAACTGGAACCGTAAGTGTTTTTTTCAGACGTCCACAATTTATTCAAAATAGAAAAATACTCTTTCTACTGGAGCATTTGTACCAGGTAGACATAAAATATATTCGATTAAAAAAAATTTGTTGAAGATTGTTGACTTTGAATACTTCCATCCAACGCGTTACGGGACAATTTTATGTCCTGGAGCTTTATTTGGGGACAATGGGACATGTGACCGAGAAAAGGGACAGTCCCGTTCAAAACGGGACGTATGGTCACTTTAGCTATAACCCGGCGACGACTCCGTGGTGCAATGACTTAGCAATCAGTAGTTGCGCTGGGGGCCGCGGGTTCGAATCCCGCACGGAACACGTATTTGTATGGCCTACAAATAATTGTTCTGGGTCTGGATGTTTGTCCTTGTGCAGTTTATGTTTGTAAACTGCCTCCAGGACACAGGAGAAAATCCTAGTATGGGGGGTAACGTTTTTTTAAAATTGAAATTGAAAGATTGAACCCTTATACTTCTTGTTGATTTTTGTATTACCTTTATTAAAGTTACCCTTATGTATAAATAAATATAATTACGTATGTAGAAATAAAATTGATTTTTATCCTCATCAATAATTGGGGTGAGGATAATGTCAGCCAGCATAAGTAATAAGCAGGCTAAGTTACAAGGTACTCAGTTCAATAATTAGTAGGTAGGTATGTAGGTATTATCCATTGCTAATAAAAATGCGTAAATTTTGTAAGATATTACTTATTAATAAATTAAATTATGTACAAGCGGACACGCGCCATGCATTTTTTTGTATTTGCATAATGAAGGAATGTAAAATTGGTTCGGTCGCTGCGCCCGCGCCTTCGGGACAGCAGATCGCTAGTTCGTCCGCTTCCGCGTTGCACGTCATACGTATCCTATACCCGTTGCCTGCCTAAGACCCATGCTTACGCAGTTCGTATAATTAGATTCTTCCTCCTATATATTACTGTATTCCTGTCTACTCATTTGTACCTTCTGTATTGTGCTGTTATTGAACTTTATTTCTGTGTGCCTAGCGCAATAAAAAATATAAGTGTGAGAAAACGGACTATTAATTAATCAGCCCTCATACGCACTTACAAATATACCGAATAAAAAAATTAAAATACATTTATCGCTGTACGCTGTGTGTATTTCCATAAAATAGTTTATTGATGTTGAAAAAATAATACTACGTTCGTACAATAGGTGGCGTCTTACATATTTCTTACGCAATATATTGTAGCGAGTCGGCGCGCCGGCTGAATGCTGAAGGTCGTTTGCATGGAGTAGCCCCTTAAGGGGCTACTCCATGCGAACGGCCTTGAGCATTTGACCGGCGCGTCGCTCGCTACAATATAACGTAGTATTATTTTTTCAACATCAATAAACTATTTTATAGAAAAACACACAGCGTACAAAGATAAATGTATTTTAATTTTTTTATTCGGTATATATTAGTTGCATTATATTAGAATTATGTATTTTCATATATTATCTAATTATGAAATTTTATAATTAATTATATATTAAAAATGAAGCATTGAAGTTTAATAGATACCTATTCACTATAGGTAAATAAATAGATAGCTCGGCTTTTGTACAAATATTTGGTGCAATAAAAAATAAATAAATAAATAGGATGTTTCGCAGATGTGTTTTTGATTATTGTTAATTTTTACGTGTCACGTATTGAAAAGTAATATACCTACCTACTAATTTTTTAACTGAGCACCTTGTAACTTAGCCTGCTTATTATTTATGCTGGCAGACATTATCCTCACCCCAATGATTGATGAGGATGAAAATCAATTTTATTTCTACATACGTAATTATATTTATTTATACATAAGGGTAACTTTAATAAAGGTAATACAAAAATCAACAAGAAGTATAAGGGTTCAATCTTTCAATTTCAATTGTAAAAAAACGTCACCCCCACACTAGGATTTTCTCCTGTGTCGTGGAGGCAGTTTACAAACATAAATTGCACAAGGACAAACATCCAGACCCGGAACAATTATTTGTAAGCCATACAAATACTTGTTCCGTGCGGGATTCGAACCCGCGGCCCCCAGCGCAACAACTAATTGCTAAGCCACTGCCCCACGGAGCCGTCGTCGGGTTATAGCTAAAGTGACCATACGTCCCGTTTTGAACGGGACTGTCCCTTTTCTCGGTCACCTGTCCCATTGTCCCCAAACAAACCTCCGGCACACAAAATTGTCCCGTAACTCGATGGAAGTATTCAAAGTCAACAATCTTCAACATATTATTTTTTAATCGAATATATTTTATGTCTACCTGGTACGAATGCTCCAGTAGAAAGAGTATTTTTTTTATTTTGAATAAATTGTGGACGTCTGAAAGAAACAGTTACGGTTCCAGAGTTCTAAAGGCGATGTTGTTAACAAAGATAACAATAAAAAATCTTGAGCAGAATTTTATTTTTATTTAATATCATCACCAACTTTATTAAAAAAAATTAATCCACTGACAAATGTAATTAATAATTAATAAAAATATGTTGCATTTAATAATTACCGTCTATACCGAATATAATTTTACAGTGAACACTAATTGTATAAAGTTATAGTTTTTAGAGTATAAATAAACCCATGTCCTGTTTTGAGTTAAAAAATAAATGGTCAGTTTAGTCTTATTAGTTAAATTTAGTTTTAAAAATTTTTAGTTAATAGTAAAAAGTAGGTATATTAG